ATTGTTAGGAGTATTTCTGATATACTGTCAACGGAGAAGAAATCAAAAACAAATTACAGACTATTGCATTTACTTTAATTATATTTGGGTAAAAATAAATAAATAAAAAATAAAAGAATCTATCTGTATGTAAATACACATTTGCATCTGTTTGAACGAGCAAGGGAAAAACACAGGTGTTAGCACTGGTAGCTATGATGGGTTAGATGGAGACCAGGCCAAGGGAGACGGTTTGCTTTCACTTCACATGTTTTTGTACCATTTCAGTAGTTAATCTAAGCGTGCCCTGTGTTTTTGTTTGTTTGGTTGTTTTGTTTTGTTTTGGTACAGGGATAGAACTCCAGAGCACTTGACAACTGAGCCACATCCCCAGCCCTACTTTGTATTTTATTTAGAGACAGGGTCTCACAGAGTTGCTTAGTGCCTTGCTTTTGCTGAGGCTGGCTTTGAACTCTCAATCCTTCTGCCTCCGCCTCCCAAGCCACTTGGGATTACAGGCGTGCACCACTGCACCTGGCTAATGCTCTACTTTTATAATGAAAAACATCAATAAAGGAAATTAGATGAAAATAAAAAGAAAATGTTTGTTTCAAATTAGTATGTTTCAGCCAGGCACAGTGGAGCCTGCCTGTAATTCCAGCCACTCAGGAGGCTGAGACAGGAGGATGGCAAGTTTGAGACCAGCCTCAGCAACTTTACAGAATAAAAATGAAAAAGGACTTGGGATATAGCTCAGTGGTAAAGCAGCCCCGGGTTCAATTCCCAGTACAAAAAAAAAAAAGTATGTTTTTTTTTGTGTTTGAGGGGAAGAGGAAAAGGGAAGATAAAACAAACTACAGAATAGTGCATATTGTATATATCATAAGCTCTATTTTATGTCACCAAAAATATTCATTCAGTTGGGCATGGTGGCACATGCCTTTAATCCCAGCAGCTTGGGAGACTGAGGCAGGAGGATTGTGAGTTCAAAGCCAGCCTCAGCAACTTAGCGAGGCACTTAGTAACTCAGTGAGACCCTGTCTCTAAATAAAATACAAAAAAGGGCCAAGGATGTGGCTCAGTGGTTAAGCATCCCTGAGTTCAATCCTCAGTACCAAATATATGTGGTACATATATGGTATATTTGTTCTTCATATATGCCTCAAAATATCTTTTAATATTGTTTAAAATATTTGCTATGAATTTGTCTTTCATTTGTCAAAAAAAAATTAATTCAAATGCCTGAGGTGACAGCTATACCAATTACCCTGATCTGATAATGACACATTGTATATAGGTGTTGAAATGTCACTGTACCCTATAAATATGAATAATTACTATGTTCAATTAAAAATAAAAATGTATTAAAATAAATAAAAGCATATCTTTCAGCTTTCTTTTCCAAGAATAGTAGCATTTTCCCCTCAATCTTCTAATTTTTGTTATTCCTTTACCATGCAGAGAGCTATTTTTTCTTTTTTTTTAATTTTTTATTGTTGGTTGTTCAAAACATTACAAATTTCTTGATATATCATATTTCACACTTTGATTCAAGTGGGTTATGAACTCCCATTTTTACCCCATATACAGATTGCAGAATTACATCAGTTACACATCCATTGATTTACATATTGCCATACTAGTGTCTGTTGTGTTCTGCTGCCTTTCCTATCCTCTACTATCCCCCCTCCCCTCCCCTCCCCTCCCCTCCCCTCCCCTCCCCTCTTCTCTCTCTACCCCCTCTACTGTCATTCATTTCTCCCCCTTGTATTATTTTTCCCTTTCTCCTCACTTCCTCTTGTATGTACTTTTGTATAACCCTGAGGGTCTCCTTCCATTTCCATGCAATTTCCCTTCTCTCTCCCTTTCCCTCCCACCTCTCATCCCTGTTTAATGTTAATCTTCTTCTCCTGCTCTTCGTCCCTACTCTGTTCTTAGTTACTCTCCTTATATCAAAGAAGACATTTGGCATTTGTTTTTTAGGGATTGGCTAGCTTCACTTAGCATAATCTGCTCTAATGCCATCCATTTCCCTGCAAATTCTATGATTTTGTCATTTTTTAATGCAGAGTAATACTCCATTGTGTATAAATGCCACATTTTTTTTTTATCCATTCCTCTATTGAAGGGCATCTAGGTTGGTTCCACAGTCTTGCTATTGTGAATTGTGCTGCTACGAACATCGATGTAGCGGTGTCCCTGTAGCATGCTCTTTTTAGGTCTTTAGGGAATAGACCGAGAAGGGGAATAGCTGGGTCAAATGGTGGCTCCATTCCCAGCTTTCCAAGAAAAGAGAGCTATTTTCTTAAAAATAAAAGTATTTATGAATAATTTATAATAGGAGAAAATAATCATATTAAACAAAAATGCAGTATATAAGCTGTTTACACAGATACTCCTTGATTTATGATGGTGTTATTTTACCCAATAAACCCATCATATACTGAAAATATGATAAGTCAAGAATGCATTCAGTTTACCTGGCTTATCAAGCATCACAGCTCAGCAACACAGTTCAGTGTATTGTTGTTTCCCTTTATAATCAAGTGGCTGACTGGGACCGGGGCTCACTGCAACTGCCCAACATGCACGAAAGCATCCTACCATATATCACTAGCCTAAAAAAGTTCAAAATTCAGAATCTGAAATACAGTTGTTACTGAACACACATGGACTTTGCACCATTGTAAAGTTGGAAAATCCTAAGTTGAACCATCACAAGACAGGAACCATCTGCACATTAAAATTTGAATAGTGAAGGAACAGGCAAGGTTAAATGCACGATCAAAAGACTAAATGGGAACATGTCAAAAGGTTAACAGGGGAAAATTATAGGTGCATTTGTTAAAGTTAAAAATGTATCCTGTCCCATGTGTGTATAATATGTCAAAATACACTCTACTGTTGTGTCTATCTAAAAAGAACAAATTAAAAAATGCACAATAGTTTAAAAAAAAAAAGGTATCCTGTGGGCATAATTTTGTCTCAGAGCCTCCAGAGATGAGGAAGAGTTTGCATGATTGCAGATAGACAACAGGTCCTGGGACCACAGCCTCTATCTGTTGACCCGCTAAGGTCACAGGGACAGCCTTAGCCTTGGCTATGGATGAGAGGGATGGCACAAGAAATGCAATCCTGTCAGTGCAGACAGAAAACAGCTGCCAGCCCTGCCTCTGTGACTGGATGGGTACCCTTTACTCTGAGTGCCAACAACATTATGTAAGACAGAAAGCACAACATTAAAATCAATAGAAGTCAGGAATCTCCATGTTAAGCAGCTTCCTTTTTCTGGAATGATTGAGAATGCAAACTTAAGAGTCAGGCTGCCTAGATTCCAATTCCATTTCTTTGATTTGAATCAGTGGAAACCTCCTTAATTGTTACATGTTTTAATTTTTTTAATCTGTAAAATGGTAATAGTAATAACAATTTATGTCTCACAGGATTATCATGAAGAATCAGTGAGTTAACAGATGTGATAACAGAAGAACAATGCTTTGAACATACCACTGAATACACATTTGCTATTGTTACTAATATCATTCTTTTTACATTTAAAAATGCTGGCATTAATACTTGATTTGTCATCAGGCCTTTATTAAATACTTAATCATCAACTATATGCTGGGCATCATTAGTCATTTTGCTTACCATAGATATAATTCTTCTTTAGAACTATTAATTAACTATTATAAAATTCATAAAAAGGGAAATTGAGGCTCAAAGAAATTAAGTATTTTCTGGGGTTAATACCTAATAAATGGAAGAACTGGGATTGAAGACCAGATCTGTCTGCCTCTGAAGTTGGAGCTATGTCTACCACATCCTTCTACTCTTGCACTGTCAAAGATTTTCGTATACATTTACACATAGACATTCTCTTGGTCTTTATTATATGTGAACTGACCTAAGGAGACATTGGTGTGGTGTCCTTGCTTAATGTTTTTTTTAAATTACAGCTCAGAACCCAGCCCCCTATGCCCCAGTTGTGCTCTCCAGCCTGCTGAGCTGCCAAGAGGGCCAGAGCCTTGTTTTGTTTCTATCTACACACGATGCTCTGGTGCTTGGTTCAGATGTGCAGGGAAGATTCACTTCATTTAGTCCTGAAAACTTGTAGATAAATTTGGACTCTTCAAAATGTAATTTAAGTTCTTATTGGTTAAAAGAGTCCACAACACACAAGTAACTAAAGAAAAAGAGAAGTTGGACTTCATCAAAAGTAAGAACTTTTGTGCATCAAAGGATACTGCTATGAAAGCGAAAAGGTGATCTAGTGAACGGGAGAAAATATTGCAGATCACATATCTGATAAAGTATTGATATCCAGAATGTATAAAGAACTCTTGAATGCATAAAGAAATCAACAAGAACAATAAAAATTTAATTTTAAAATGGGCAAAGGACTTGAATGGATATTTCTCCAAAAAAGATACACAAATTACCAAGAAGCACTTGGTAAGATGCTGAACATCATTAGTCACTAGAGAAATGCAAATCAAAATCACAACTTACCACTTCATACCTGTGAAGACAGCATAAACAAAACAAAACAAAACATAAAATGGAAAATCACAAGTGTTGGCAAGGATGTGGAGAAATTAGAGCCCATGTATATTATGGGTAGGAATGTAAAATGGCCTACCCACTGTGAAAAATAGTTTAGCTCTTTCTCAAAAGATTAAATATACAACTGTGACTGAGTCACGTGACTCAGCAATTCTGTTCTAAAGAATAAATTGCTCAAGCAGAAACTTGAGCAGATTGTACACCAATTGTCTTAGTCATTGTGTGTGATTTTAACAAAATACCTGAGGCTGAATACTTTATAAAGAAAAGAGTCTTATTTGGCTCATGATTCTGAGAAGTACAAACAGGATAGCACTGGCATGTGGCAAGGGCCTCAGAGTGACCAGTATTATGTGGCAGGATCATGTGCAAGAGAGAGAGAGATCACTTAGCACGAGAGGAAGGAAGAAAGAGTGCCAACCAAGAAAGCCAAACTCACTTTTTAAAAAACTAATATGGCCGGCGCTGGGGAGCCGCTGTCCCCCGATGAATTGCTCCCGAAAGGCGACGCGGAGAAAACTGAGGAAGAGTTGGAAGAGGACGATGACGACGAGCTAGATGAGACCCTGTCTGAGAGACTCTGGGGTCTGACGGAGATGTTCCCGGAGAGGGTCCGGTCCGCGGCCGGAGCCACTTTTGATCTCTCCCTCTTCGTGGCTCAAAAAATGTACAGGTGGGGTTGGGGATGTGGCTCAAGCGGTAGCGTGCTCGCCTGGTGTGCCTGCGGCCCGGGTTCGATCCTCAGCACCACATACAAACAAAGATGTTGTGTCCGCCAAAAACTAAAATAAATAAATAAATATTTAAAAAAAAAAAAAAAAAATGTACAGGTTTTCCAGGGCAGCCTTGTGGATTGGGACCACTTCTTTTATGATACTGGTTCTTCCTGTTGTCTTTGAGACTGAGAAGTTACAAATGGAGCAACAGCAGCAACTGCAACAGCGGCAGATACTTCTAGGGCCTAACACAGGGCTGTCAGGAGGAATGCCAGGGGCTCTGCCTTCACTTCCTGGAAAGATCTAGATTGTTACTGCTATATTTGAGCTGTCTCAATGGGAGAAATTTGAAATTCAATTATGTTTGAACTGCTGATTATTTGGGGGGGGATTTTTTTTTTTAAACTGTGGCACACTGATCCAAACCTGGTGGGAAGAATTCTCCCCTCATTGTCTCACAGAGGCTCCCAACTTTCAACTGTACCCTCCACGCTGTCCTCAATGTTTCTTCTGTCCTCGCTCTGATACCAGAATGCAGCTATGCAGACGGTTATTCCAGCTCTGGCCACCTTACCCCTTCTAGTACATTGCTCCTAACTGGAAGATCTCCTCACTGTCTATCTCATTATGGGGTAGAAATGATGCCCCACAATGGGAGGGAAGGATCCCTGACCATTAATGACTTTTGTTTGTTTCTTTCTTTCTTCTTCTTTTTTTTTTTTAAAGGAGACGTTGAGAAGGGACATGCACATATTAATATTAAAACTGACAAAGTGCACTGTGGCTGTCTTGTAAAGCACCAGGAAGCCCCATGTATACTGAAGGGAGGCTGTTTATAGCTTCAGCCACAAAATGGGGACAGTGAGTATGGAGGACAGAGCAAAGGCTCGTTTCCTCTGCACATTTTGGCTATTAGACTTGTGTGTAAAAAAAAGTCAGTGCTCACTTTTTGTATTTAAATATTAAAAATGATTCCAACTCAAAAAAATAAAAATAAAAAAAAAATAAAAAACTAATATATATTTTCAATTGATATAGTTAATTGTACACATTTATGGAGTATAGTATGTCATTTCAGTGCATTCTTACAGTACGTAATGTTCAGATCAGGGTAATTGGCATATCACCTAAGACATAGATTTGTATTATAAATATTCAAAATCTTCTCTATTAGTTATTTTGGATTATTAAATTAATTGTTGTCAACCATAGTTACCCCCACTGTGCTATAGAACATTTGAAGTTATCTCTCCTATTCAACTGCACTCCTGTATCCATTAACCATCTTGTATCCACCCCCCACCCCTACCCCCACCCCACAGCATCCCAAACCCTCCCTAGGTTCTGGGTTCTGGTAACCACCATTTTATTCTCTACTTTGAACTTTAGCTTCCACATGTAAGTAAAATCATGTGATATTTGTCTTTCTGTGTCTAACTTATTTCATTTAACATAATGCCTTTAATTTTCATCTATATTGTTGCCAATGATTGACTTTGTTCTTTTTATAACTAATATTCAGCTGTATATATGTATATGTATGTAGGTATGTGTATGTGTGTGTGTGTGTATATATATATATATATATATATATATATATATATATATATATATATATAACATTTTCTTTATCCATTCATCTGTTGATAGACATCTAGATTGATTCCACATCTTGGCCATTGTGACTAACCCTGCAGGAGACATACAGGTTCAGATGTCTCTTCAACATACTGACTTCATGTTCCTTTGGATATCCAGTAATGGGATTGCTACATAATATGGTGAGTTCTACTTCTACTTTCTTGAGGAAACCCCATGATGTTTTCCATATGGCTGTACTAATTTGCATTTTCACAATGTATGAAAGTTCCTCTTTCTCCACAGCCTCACCAGCATGTGTTACTTTTTGTCTTTTTGATATTAGCTATTCTAACTGGGGTGAGATACTATCTCATTGTGGTTTTGATTTGCATTTCCCTGATGATTAATGATGTTGTGCATTTTTTTCATATAGTTGTTGATTATATGTATATCCTCTTTTGAGAAATGTCTATTCAGATAATTTCCCATTTTAAAATTGGTTTATTTGATTTTTTGTTTTGTTTCATTTTGTATTGTTTATTGCTGAGTTAGTTCCTTACGTATTTATTCCACTTACCAGATGACTAGTTCCAGTGTTTTTTTTTGTTTGTTTGTTTGTTTGTTTTGCTTTTTTTCAATTCTGTAGGCTGTTTCTTTAGTCTGTTGGATATTTCCTTTGCTGTGCAGGTACTTTTAGCTTGATATAATACCATTTGTTAATTTTAGTTTTTGTTGCCTATGCTTTGAGGATCATATTCAAAAATCCTTTGCCTAGATCAATGTTCCAAAGCATTTTCCCTGTATTTTCTTCTAGTAATTTCAAAGTGTGGGGCCCTACATTTAATTTGTTAGTGCATTTCTAGTTGATTTTTATATATGTGAAGTGAGAGATAAGGGTTTAGCTTCTTTCTTCTGCATATGGATACCTAGCTTCGCCAGAACCATATAAGAAACTTTTCTTCCTCTAATGTATATTTTTATTGCCTTTGTTGAAAATCAGTTGGCCATAAATATGTGGATTTATTTCTAGATTCTCCCTTCTGTTCCATTATTCAGTGTGTCTGTTTTTATTCCAGTACTATGTTTTTTTTTGTTACTATAGCTTTGTAATATGTTTTGAAGTCAAGTTATTGTAATATCTCCAAATGTGTTCTTCTTGCTCATAACTGTTCTGTTTATTTGAGGTCCTTTGTGGTTCCAAATGAATATGTGTGTGTGTGTGTGTGTGTTTTCTAATTCTGTGAAAAATATCAGTGGTATATTTGGTATAAATTACCTGAATCTTTAGAATGGTTTGGGTGGTATGGACATTTTAACAAAATGTAATCTTCCAATCCATGAACATGGGATGTCTTTTCATTTTTTGTATGTGTCCTTTTAGTTTCCTTCATCAGTGTTTTGAAATCTCATTGTAGAAATCATTCACTTCTTTGGTTAAACATACAGTTATTGTGAATGTGATTGCTTTCTTGATCTCTTTCTCAGCAATTTCATTATTGGTGTAATACACAGATATTAATTTTTTATATGTTGATTTTCAAATAAATTTTACTAAATTTACCAGTTCTAGCAATATTTTGGTGGCGTTTTTAGATCTTTGTATATTTGACTTCCTCTTTTCCTATTTACATGTCCTTTCTTTTCTTTCTTTTTTTTTTTTTTTTGTCTTATTGCTGTTGCTAAGACTTCCAAATCTACATTGAATAAGTGAATAAGAGTGGTGAAAGTGGACATCCTTGTCTTGCTTCTAGTCTTAGAGAAAATTATTTCGGCTTTTCTCCATTTTCTATGATGTAGGCCATGTATGTAGTTCTGATTGTGTTGATCTGAACTTGCTTTATAACAACTCATTCTTGAGGAAACTAATCTGGCACTATGTGAAGTATATTAATTCCTTCTGAGGGCAGTGCCCATGATCTAATCACTTTCCACTGGTTCTCGCTTCTTAAAGATTCCATCACCTCTCTACTGCCACACTGGGGATTCCAGGACATGAACTCTGGAAGACAAACCATATTTAAACTATAGCATCAATGTTCATAATAAGATTCTTCATAATAGTTAAAAGGTTGAAACAACCCAAGTGCCTATCAACAGATGAATAAATAGACAAAATATGGTATGTACATGTAATAGAATATTATTCAACCATAAAAAGGATAGCAGTTTTGATATATGCTAAAAAAAATGGATGAGCCTAGAAAACATTATTTTAGTAAAATAAGTCAGATACAGAAGAACCAATATCATATGACTCCACTTATATGAATAGGAAAATTCATATAGAGAAAAAGTGAATTAGAGGTTTACCCAGGGCTATATTTCTCGAAACAGCAATCCTTTTTATGACTGCATAACATTCCGTCAGTGGATATGCCACATGTGTCTGTATAGTCTCCTATTAATGAATTTCTGGAAAAACAATAAATAGCACTCTGTGCTCTAGTTGAATTTCAGTTCTCACATATCAGTCAATAAGAATGTGCCACTTTGATTTATCTGGTGTCCTTTCATTTGTACAGACTTTGAAATCATCAACACTTTTGTGGTCTTTGATTCTTACCCCCATGAGTGGGCTTGAAAACAGAATCAAAGTTATGTCTTAGAAAAATACATTAATCTCTTAATGTGTCAAAGGATTGAAAATAGATCACCCTTCAAGTGAGAAACAGATTCTAAGTTTGTGAGCTCCAGAAAGTCTTTTCCAAAATTGATGGTTCTATGCAAGCTTGGGTTTGAGAAGCTAGGGGTCTCCTGGAAAATTAGTCATTGTGGTGGAGACAAAAGACATTCTCAACAGGAAACATCTCACACAAGAGCCTTGGAATTTTCCCTAACAGACTGAAGATGCTTCTGTACATTTTCAACTCCTAAAGATAACTAGCCAGGCCTGAACAACTCATTGTATTTCAGGACATGCTCTGTGTGTTTCCTGCAGCTATCACAATATATATTGTTGGGCTGGGGATATGGCTCAAGCGGTAGCGCGCTCGCCTGGCATGGGTGCGGCCCGGGTTCAATCCTCAGCACCACATACAAACAAAGATGTCCTACTACATACCCACATCCACCCTGAACTCAAAGGGTCAGTGTCTGCTGGGACAGAATCAGACACTTCCAGAATTCTAAAGCAATGGTTGATCAATCAAAGGACAGCCTAAGACTTCTTTCCCTATCTGCCTAAGAGAGGGCACCTAAGACTCATGGGTAACGTTCTTTTGTATCCCTTTCATTTTACAGATGTAAAGAGAAGCAACAAGTTTTAGCTAACTCTAAAGTCTCTGACAGTAAACCATGGAAAACCAGTTTGCTAGTTCTACTTGCAAAGCACTGTGCTAGCATGTTACTTCATCCTATTAGTCATATTTATGAAAAAAACTATGCAGAATTTTGTACCTTTGATGCTAATCTGCCTTCTTTAAAACATTTAAACAGGCCTAAACATTCAGCCTAGGATAATGGTTCACCATTGTGTAAGAGAAAAGACCTGCTGGTTGGGGGCAGAAATCAGATGGATATAGATACAAGAAACTGAGCCCAAATCTTAGTTTCCTCTTCCACTAATGAATACAAATGGAACTAGAAAATTAAATCCTCTGGTTTACTATGACTTTGGGGTAAGTCCAATTTTGTGACTTCTCCTTTGCATGTAGAAAATATATTATCCTTCAATAAGAAAGAATTAACTCCTGAGTATTGAGTTAACTGACGGTCAGAAGTACCACAGTGGAGTGATGAATGACTTTGCAACTCTGTGTTGGATGGTTGTGTAACTGC